TAAAGCAACCATTGCATTTTGCTCACAACTTTGTGGGTTGGATTTTGGGAGACCTGAGCTGGGGTTTTCACTTGGGCGTCTCCTGCTGTTGTAATCAGATTTTAGCCATGGTGGTAGCTGTCTGAGGTCTGACTGGGCAGAACATTGCAGACAGCACACTCACTTGTCTAGCTATTGATGGTACCAGTCAGAGCTCTGCTGGGGTTGTTAACAGAATGGCTGTGTGGTACAAGGTGGGTTTGGCAGTTCTAGGGCAGTGGCTTCTGAACTGCCTCATAGTGAATGTTCAAAAGAGATGCATATATGTGGCACAGCATTTTTAAAAGATTTTGCTGTGAGGTGGTATGGTCCTGGCACAACATGGCATCATTTCTTTCGATTAGAAGTCACTGAGGTTAGCTCAGATCCAAGATAAGAGGGCTGAGAGTCCACCCCCTGATTAAAGAATAGTCAAAGAATTTGTAGACCTGCTGTCAAGATCTCCATGAAGGCCAATATGACAGCAGCAGAGGACAATATTGAGACCAGCAGACGGCCCCTTGAAGGTGTCAGGGGACCAGCCGGCACCTTAGTGGCAGGCGGGCTGATTACAGTGCACACTTCCATCTTGAAGAGCAGGTTCTCCTCACTGGAAGATACCCTTAGTCTGAATGAGTCATCCTTCCTTCTGTTCACAGTTTCCACTGAAACCCACCATCTGCAGACTGACATAATAAATGCCATATCCACTGCCACAGTATTTCATGGCATGTCACTCCTGATCAAGGAACTCAATTTATAGCAAATGAAGTGTGCCAATGGAATGACGTCATGGAATTCGATGGATTTATGGTGTTCTTCATCGCCCTGGATTAGCTGATATGATAGAACAGTGAAGTGGCCTTCTGAAGATTTGTGACAGTGCCAGTGGGTGGCAAGAGAACATGTGTGGATGATGTAATGTTCTGGAATTAAGACTATGTTTTGAGTCCCCATCCACTATAAGATTCTGTTCCCCCATAACCAAGATGCATAGATCTAGGAACAAGGGCTCAAAATGAAGCAATTCTTCTGTTATACAAAGTGATTGAACAGCTAATGTTTTCCTCCCTGTTCCCAGAACTCTGAGCTATGTCAGTTTAGAGGACTGTTTTCAAAGGAAAGAAAGTATCCTTCTGAGAGCACATCTCTGTCTTCTCACTGGATGCTGAACCAATCTGGCCATTCAGGGCCCTAGTGTGAGTGAGTGCATTGCCATCAAAGAAGGAAGCTGGTGGACTGGCTGTGTGATGGGATGACCGCAGGGCAATGGAATGCTGCTATTGGGAGGACAGTGGGGAAACCGAGGAATATAGTTGAATACAAAAGGTTCTTGGGATTCTCCATAGCAACAATACATGGATAACTAAATATCCCAATACAGGCATAACTGATGGTGGCTTGGGATCTGTAAGAATGAAAGTTGGGTAGCTTTATCAGAGCAGGAATGAGTACTAGCCGAAAGGCTTGCTGAGAGAAAGACCAGGTAGTAAGTAGTGGAGAAAGGAAACCATAAATACCAGTTACAACCATGTGGCTATCCGTAACAAGAACACTACTGGCCTTAAAGCCACCCCAGGAGCTTGGCCAGGTGCCTGGAGCACAGCAGCTCAATACAATCAGCAGTTTCAGCAGTTGGGTGGTTTCCACAGACCTTCCACCCACCACCCACCTACCCCAGCATCGGATGCAGATTCTTTGACCATGCACCTACACATGTGCTTCTTTCTTCATCCCCCCCCTCCAGATCCCTTCATATCTGTGTCCTGGCACCCCTGTAACCAGCCCCTCATTCCCATCATGTCTACCCTCCCTCCATTTTCCTGACTAAACACTGACTTAGGCATTTTTGTTCTCTGCAAATAAAATATTAGCAGACTCCTCCTGGAAGTCTCTCTGCTGGGGAGAGGCTCTGCCTGAAAAAGAGACTCTGTTGCTTTCATCCCTGCCTGTGACTCGCTCTTCTTTAAGGCGCTTATCATCAGTGGACACGGTACGTTGAGACACCTGCTGCTTTTTACTACTTGTAGTAGTTATGTGTTACTACAAAGAACACCAGAGGCAGCAAAGTTTGTAAAGAAAAAAGGTTTATTCAGCTCATGGTTTTAGAGGTTCAAAATCCACCATGGGGCAGATCCAGTATGTTGGGGTGTCACAGCAGATGGTTTCACACTATGGCAGGAGCACATGCATAAGGAAGGAACTACATGTTGAAATAGAAAGCCAGAGATTACTCATAGGTCAGGTTCAAACTTTTACAACCACTCACTTTTATGAAAATCACTTCAGGTGACCAGCATCCCCATCTCAGTGCTTTCAGATCCCACCCAGCAGTAAACCATGGAGAGAAGAAGCTGTGGAAATCAAGCAACTCATGGACATGGGTTCAGAGCACTTAGTCCTGGCCCATAGAGAAGCACATGTGACAGGGAGGCAGTTCTGGAAGCCAAGCAATCATTAGCCAACCCTCAGCTCTCCATAGTGATCCTTAGGTGATAGGGTTCATTCCTTGCCACAGAGAGGAAGGCCACCAACATCTATATTCTCCACAGTCTGAGTGTTCTGAGTGGGTCCATGGACAGCTCTACTCCTCTGTACCAGAGCTATTCATGGTCATCTACCACCTAGACAGTTAGACAGGACATATCTGAAGCACGGTTGAGGAATGTTCCTAGTTGCCATTGTTCCTTATCTCCAGAACAGCTGAGTTTCTTGGAAGCTACAGCACTCTAAGTTATGGGGAGTGACAGTGTGGATTTCCTTTCCAGTGCTGGCCTGCCAAGTAGGAATCACCATCTGTACTAGTTAACTTTTAATTATCAACTTCACACAACCTAGAGCCATCATGCGAGAGGAAAGCCTTGACTAAGGAATTTCCTAGGTCAGACTAGCCTATGGATATATTGGTTATTAATTGACCTTTGAGGGCCCAGCCTACTGTGGCATCATCCCTAGGTAGATGATCCTGGGCTGTTATAAGAAAAGCTAGCTAAGTGTGAGCCTGAGTGAGTGAACCAGCAAGCCGCATTCCTCCATGTTCCTGCCTCCAGGTTCCTGCTTTGAGTTCTTGCCCTGACTTTCCTTTATGATGTTTTGTGCCCTGGAAGTATAAGTGAAATCAACTCTTCCTCTCCAATTTGCTTTGGTTATGGTGTTTGCCACAACAACAGGAAAGAAATTAGTATATCATCACCAAATTCCTTGCCCTCACTGTGGCCATTTGCCTTATGCCTTTTAAGGACTTGGGTAGCAAGAACTGCTAACATGTCACCATCAGGTTCCTGGCTTACCTTGTAGTTGTGGTTTCTGATTCCCCAGCTCTGGGTCCTGGGGATGGAACTGTCTGCTCTTTCCCAGTTTTTGCAGCATAGCTGTGACACTAGATTTCAATAGTCAATTTCATTGGATTAAGGCTTATGTAGAGCAGGGGCTAGAGAGATGGCTCAGTGGTCAAGCACATGCTGCTCTTCCAAATGAGCCAAATTTAGTCCACAGCCCCCACATCCAGATGACTCACAACTACATGTAACTCCAGCTCCATGAGCTCCAGCATCCTCTTCTGGTCTTTGTGGGTACCCATACATGGGACACAAACACAAACACACACACGAAATAAATCTTTAAAAAAGAAAGACCTAGAGCATTCCTGAGGCACACCTTTGAGTGTGTCTGTGTGGGTGTGAGGGTATTCTAGAAGATTATTGGAGATGAAGATCTTCCCTGAATATGGGTGGCACCATCCCATAGACTGGGATCCCAGACTTTAAAAAAAGAAAAGGAGAAAACCAACTGAGTGCCAATATTCCCCATTCTCTGCTTCCTGTTCCCGAGACATGAGGAAGCAACTGCCACACTTCTAAGATAGCGCCTCCTGCTGCTCTGTCTTCCTGACCATGATGGACTGTATCCTGTTCCTTAAGTTGCTCTGGTCAGGCATTTGATCACAGAGAAGAGGACAGAGACTAATGCAGTAGCCTTGTGTATGCTTTTCAGCCATGCCGTTAACCACTTTCATGACTCCTGATGCTCTTCCTCTTTCTCTCATCATGAAGTCTGACTTATTGCCCTCATGCTTCTCATCCATGGGGTGACACAGAGGAAGCTTCCCCAGCATTCTCTTCCAAATCAGAAACCCCTAATGTCTTAAAGATGTCCTACTAAGTTCCACTGCTTAAAGGTTCCAGCACTTTCCTATGCCACCACCCAAAGACCAAGTACACAGCACATGAACCATTGAGGAAACACATTTTAACCATAGTCACACCATAGCACTGCAGCATCCCTGGTGAACTGCTGTCATTTGAGACTTGCTCAGTGAGCATTCATTGGATATATGGGATTGAATAGGATTGAAGGCTGATACATCATGATCAGAGGCTATTACGGTCATTTCCTACCATGAATGTAGCGTACTGAATTCATAGTTCAATAGATATAGAAGAGGTAAACACATCAAAACTGGAGAAGGAATTAGAGAAGGAAGGGTGGGATGAGGAGGAAGAAGATGAAGAAAAGGAGATGAGCGAACAGGAGGTGAGGAGGCAGGGAAGAGTTTGAGGGGAACTGTACTAGGTGCCTTGCACCGGTGGCCTTGAGTCCTACCTATGAGGTCAGTGTTCCTAATCCCCAAGTACAGGTGAAGTCACTAAAGCATGAGGACTGCAAGGACCTGCTGAAGGTCCAGTTTGGTGATGTAGCAGAAATCCAACTACAGGTGTCAAATGTCAAAACTCACTCTCCTGCCTTCACACCACAGCACCAGAGAAAGCAGACACACAAGAGGAGAAAAAGAAATGCTGTTTAAAATCAATTCCGAGCATTACAGTTGGAGCTACGATTATAGCGTCTACTTCTCTTTTTTTTTTTTTTTTTTTTTTTTTTTTTTTTTTTTTTTTGGTCTTTTTGAGACAGGGTCTCCCTGTAGCCCTAGCTGTCCTGGATTCACCATGGAGACCAGGCTGGCCTCAAACTCACAGAGATCCACCTGCCTCTGCCTCTGCCTCCTGAGTGCTGGGATTAAAGGCGTGCGCCACCATGCCTGGCCAGCTTCTATTTTTCAACTGAACTGATTTTCTCAAGTCCTTTTCCACATGACTCAATCTATTACATAAGCAAGCATCATGCTGCATGTAATAGTTCTATCATTTTACCGTTTCTGCTAGTTAGTCCTAATGAGAGACTGGAAGTAATTATAGAATATTTAAAGAATGTGCTTTAATTTTAAACTCACTTAAAATGTTACTATGCACGTTAAAATTTCAAACATCAAAGTAGTACCAGTGATAGTTAACTTTGTGTTTACCCCATAACTGAAATGCATCTGCTCTCTGCATCAAGCAACATGGGGTCTGCAGGGCCCCAGTCAGTGATTGCACAGCCTGGAGTTTCAGATCAGTGGAGGCACTTCTGGGTTATCTTCAAAGTCTGGATCTTCCTCACTGGGTAAAATTTTGGGCTGGGATTTCAAACTTTTGGGTTTGTATTTTTTCTCCTGGACTATGGTAGTCACATCAGGATAGGAATGCTTGCTAGGATCAACTTCCAGTCTTTCAATTTTCTTTTTTCTACAACAGAAAAGGGCAAAGGAAAATTAATATTACACTCTTTAAAAAATTAAACTTCTAAGAAATTCAACTCATTTATTCAGTGAATATTGGCAAGTGCAGTCTATATAACAGAGAGAGTGAGAAGAGACTGTCCTTGGCTTCAAAGAGCATAGAGAACTCTGGAAATAAGATTTTACCCATGGAGAAATAAAGTATGAGAAATATATGTGCCATGCATAGGTCATAGGAGTTAGCCACCCGAGAGGCTCTGCTTACCTCAGAAATTTGTTGCGTGACTGAAATGACACCACACGCGAAGCTACATAGCCAGGATCAACAGGACACGAGGCAGTTCTACTCTTGTCTGCAGCTGATCAGACTTTGTGTTTTGGCAGGAGCATTTAGACAGCAAGTTCAGGTGAATAACAGAGCCCAGTCTACAGCTTCTGCCCCCACAGGCACCTACATCTACTCCCCACGTCCACTATTTCTAGAAGCATGGCTGGAACAGAGCAGGAAGAAACTCCACTGCCAACGGTTCCCCATGTCATGGTTGTGGAGGAACTATGTGGATGATGCAGATCCCTGTGCTGTTTTCATGGCCATTTTTATTCAACACACGTGAAATTGTAACCAGCAATATGTACTTTCTAAAGTTTCCCCAGAGATTTTGATATACAGTCATTTTGGAATCACTGTGCCATCCATCCATCCATCCATCCATCCATCCATCCACCCATCCATCCATGATATTACACTTGAAAAGAAAGGACAAAACCAAGGGGACTGATTGGTAATGTAAAAACAATGACTAGGAACTTGAAAATATTTGTAAGCTAAGATGTGGCAGTGAGGGCCAACAGAATGTGGTGTGAGAGTTCACTGGAGACTCCACTACAGATGAGTAAGGGGCCCAAGGTAGAACCAAACCCATTGACCAAGCAAAGAATAGTAGAAACTGAAGACAACCTGGTCTGTACAGAGAGAAAGGTTCCCGTTAATGTCTTTTAATGCAGTAAAAGCATGAACACAATTGTTATTATAGCTTTGTGGAATTGTCTTATGTTGACCTGTTTTCATGGAATGCTGACATCTTTGAGGTAAAGATTGTATCTTTTTATCTTATTCCTTGGTATACAGCTATAGTGAATAAATGCTTGTTCTATAAGTGAAAAAGTATTAGTTCTCACTGGGAAAGCAGTGAATTTATATATGAAATTATCACCATTATCACAACCATTTCACTATAAGGAAGTGGTTGTGATAATGGAGATAATTTCATATATTCACTTGCATCCCATTTCCCTATAGTGATATAAAACTTTCCCTGAACAGAAAGGGTGCTCACTGTGGCTAGTGAAGGTGTATCCTTTCCTTCTAGGTGTGGAATTTGACCTGTTCTAGTCCCCAGTAAAATCCTCAAGCTCTGGGCCTCTAAGGCGCCTCCATGATGTGCCAGGTCACATGGGTATTGGAGTGTACTGCTGGAGGTTAATTGTAATGATGTCCTCTGATGAAATGAACCCAGAAGGTACCGTTTGTTGTGAAGAGGAAGATCTGTTTTCTTAGGAAGTATAAATTCTGTTGTACTTGCAGCTCCCCCCACCCCCCCGCCAATTCCTGGACTCTGCTCAGCCCTTCAAAGTATTTGAGTTAATTTTCTTAGTAGTTTGACTAATACACATGTACTTGCTTAGGAAAACACCAAGTATGCAAAGATCATAAAATAATACATTCTGAATACCCAGATTGTAAACTATAAATATAAACTGTTTAGAAAATTTATATTTAGAAGAGTTTATATGTAGAAGAAAGAAGGGGTCAGAACAGACTGCCTTCTCTGAATGTGAATGTGAGGTGCATTCTGAAGATGCACAGAAGGATGTTTAAGAGCGTGGATGAGAACGAAGGGGAAACCAGTACTCATATAGATGACCAGTGAGGGATAGGGTGCAGAACCTGGCACACCTTCTCCTCAGAAGCCTCTGTGCCATGGTATTGAGGGACTTCTCTATAAAAAGGCCAGGATCCACAATGCCAGCTATGATGCTGTTTATCACCAACACACAGCAAATAATAGCCATTGCAAGGTCGGTAGCTGGCTTGAAAGAAAATGTGCATGTAGCAGACCAAAGCTAACTATCTGAAAAAAGACTTGCAAGACTGGGGCTTAGCTGCATCCCATTTCCCTATAGTGACATAAAACTTTCCCTGAACAGTAAGGACGCTCACTGTGGCTAGCGACGGGTGTATACTTTCCTTCTAGGAGTGGAATTTGACCTGTTCTAGTCCCCAGTAAAAACCTCAAGCTTTGAGCCTCTAAGGAGCCTCCATGATATGCCAGGTCACATGGGTGTTGTAGTGCACTGCTGGAGGTTGTGTCCTGTGTCACTCCACAGGGAAAGCACTCTTAGAAGCTTACACCTGTTATCTTTGGACTATGACCTTGGCTGATGTGGCTTTGTGGTAATAAATATTATCCATGAGTAGGACTGAGTCCTGGAGCCTAATAAACCACCGGTCATCCTGGGGAGTCCAGACACTCTGCATCCTTTGTCACTCCCTTTACTTATACCATCAAATCCTCTGAAGACCCACTGCCACCTCCTTCTGACCCAGCAGATGAACAGGAGGATTGTCAGTCAGGGACTCACAGATAAACAGTCAGAGCTGGGGAGGAAGTCCAGGTTTGTGACACTTGCACTGATACACAGTCACTCAGAAAACCAGGAACCATATACAGCGCAGACACTGGCTTTCCTGTCCTTGCACTTTGGCACATAAGGTTACATCTATTAAAAAAGCTCCAAATCAGTGTTAACACAGAAACCAATTGTTAACCCGTTTACATCTCACTGATTTCCTGGTAATTCTTGGCTCTTACCCACAAAGCTGTGTACCCTAGAGTGTGTGTGACCCAGACACTATGTGTCTCCATGGACTCTTCTTTGAAGCTGGCGTGATGACAACATGCACAGGACTGTTGTCCAGATTACATCAGTTCATACACCACAAAGACAGAAAGCAGTGCTGTGCCCAAAGCTCAGCAGACATTTAGCAAAGAGAACAGAGGTCACAGACATTAGTCTAAAGATAAGAGTCAGCTATTCAGCTCAGCGAGCTTTTCAACACACAGCTTTCAGGTGCCTGGTGCTGTGATCAGTATCAGGAATTTAAAAGCAATATGTGACCTGTGCTCTTAAGCTAAGGAAGATGACATATAATATATACTCAACTCTTACTCTCCAGCCTATTTGGCAAGAGGTCTGTGAAAGGCATCAACAAACGCTGTTGAAGGACCAAGAATGAAGCAACTTACGGATGGAGAAGGGGAACTTGGTTCCCGGCACCGAGGGAGGAAAAGGTGATCCTAGATCTTGCAGGAGATGAACATTACAGAGTGACCACTCAGACAAAGGTAAGAAAGAGGACATTTTACTGCTTGCTGTGAGAATAAAATATCTAAAGACAGGGGAACAGGAGTAGGCATCCTAGGCCAGTCCAGCCATGGTGGGGCCTCAGCAAGGCAGGTTGGGTACATTAGTTCAGCAGGTACAGGAGGCTGCCTGTAGAGGAGTGTGAGCACCCTATGGTGAAAGGTGAAAGGGTTTGCCTATGGAGCAAGTGTTAAAGCCACAAAGCTTGGAAATTGGAGCATGTCACCCCACTGTGATTTTCTTTTCCCTTTAAGAATACCCAAGACTAAGAAGTGGCTTATTTTAGGAAAGTTAGAGCCAATGATTTATAGATAAGCAGTGCTTGCTAACCTTATTAATAATACTTTAGTGTTCAGTAAGTTTAGTTAGACTGTGGAACACTGACAGTGTTCCTTGAGAGTGTTCTAATGTTGAAGTACTTCTGTCCATCTCCAATTTTTCTGCATTGCTGCTGGTCACAAGAAAGGTGCCCTCTCGTTATCTGTTCATAATTCTGTTCATAATTTCTTCATCTATCCAACAATTATTTATTTAGCTCCTGTTATGTATTCAAGTTTGTGTGGGTCCTTGAGGTTGAAAGTAGAAAGAGGAAAATAAAAGGGTGTCCCCATGTCCCCACTGAGCTCATGATGAATATGACACCACTAGCCAAAGAAGATTTGTAATCACAGTCACGCCTGCTTTTTGAAATCAATATCTTTTGGGATATGTTGGTAAAATAATGGGTTTCAGTATGTGACATTTTCTTACATATATATCATATCATTATACTTTGCTATTTGCCCCTCCTGCCTTCCCTCCTGCCTCCTTGCCCTTCTTGTTGGCCTCCACTCACCCCCTTCTGCTTTGATATATCATACATGCTACTGTTTCCAGTCCTCCAGGCCTCTTCACTCCTTTTCTACCTTCATATAACACACATGCACACACATATAATTTTATATCTAGATTCCACATGAGAGAAAACATGAGATATTTATCTGACTCTAACATGTTTCTTAGCCCCATGGTCTCCAATTCCACCCCTTTTCCTGCAGACATGACAGTTCCATGCCTCTTTACAGATGGATAAAGTTCCATTGCATATATTCATCACATTTTCTTTATGTGTTCATCTGCTGATGTACCTCTAGGATGGCTCCTCTCTTAACTATTGTGATTAGTCTGTTTTAAAAGCATAAGATTTGTGCCAATGTGACATAGTGTCACTGACTAAACTGATTCATCTGCTTGATGAGTTTTCAGGGGAAGTTATAAGAGTTTTTAATGTCTCATAGTGTGAGAACTGTCTTACATGACACTTTTGCCACCAAAGAGTCCCATCCATCACACTCCTGGCTTGTGTGAGAAGGGGGAAGGGTCAGAGATCAGAGGAATGCAGCTGAAGCTGAGGAAGGTTTAGAATTGGTCTGGGTGACAATATTTCACTTAATATATAATGACTGCAACAACTTAGAATTTTAACATTGAGGGTTCCTCATGTAATGACAAGTGCCCAGATCATGAAGGTGAAGATTTCATGGACTGGAATTAAGGATAGGGCATGTCAAGATTTGAGGAGACCTTCCCTGCTGTGTCCCT